GTTGTACATGCACTCAAAGCTCTACTTCTATGCTGTATGTTTGACAAGCTTTAATAATTGCAACCTTGTACTTCTATTCAATTTTGTAGTATTATTGTATTCTAATACTAATGTACCTTCAAATGTTGCAACCTCTAACATCATAAACTTCCACAATTTGCATTGCAATTCTTCATATACTATAATAATACAACAAAATCTAATACCATGGAACAATAGTCAATAGCATAGTATCTGGCAATATAGTACTACAACCTACTAAATAGAAAATAATATCCCATCAAAAAGTACAAAACTCAATACTATTCTCTAACAATATATAGAATAGTTAAAACATAAGATAATTAGAAATCTAAATGTAAAAAAAGAAAAAATGATTAGGGAATTTTTTGCAACCTTGACAAATGATACAACATGGATCCTTTGTAATTGTCACATAAAGTTTTGCAACAAAACAACCACCAATATCTACCACCTTCACATCAAAATTGAAATCTAATATTTAATGCTAAAATGAAAGAACCTTTGAAGCTCACAAAAGTTTTACTAAATCTGAGTCCTAGAACTTGTTAATAAACTTTTAAGTTCTTGATGAAAGAACTAACCAGCTAAACTAAGTAAAAAAAAAAAAAAAATAGCATCCATACTTAATTATTTTTTAATTATCCATAAAACTTCACCAAGATAAAAGAACGAGATGTATTGCAATATAAAAAAATTATAAATATAAACTAATCCATCTTGAATCAATTTTAGATAAGATGATAAGATCCAAGTCTGATACATCAATATAGTAATAATAGTGTATTGTCATGTAAAATGGCATTGTGACAAAAAGTACATGCCACTATTATAATCTAGAGTTGTGGGTCTAATCTTAGCATTGTGTTAATAAACCAACTAGTACCTTGGTGGAAGCAATATAGAATATATTGCAAATTATTAATATTATGAGTGCCATAGCCTAATCCAAAAAAGGTTAAAAAATCAATTCCATAATTCTTTTTACACACCTCGTTGGCCGTAGATGCATGACTACAATGTTCTCAACTTGAATATAACTAACTAACAATGTTGATATTTTGTCCTCTTTTTCCATCCAAATATTGTTGTTCATTGAATTTGATTCATTTTCCATTTATAGACTATAAATTCCTATTATTTATTTAAATATATCTATTATTTAAGTCTTTATTAAAGGTATAATATAATGAAGTAGAATAGCACTCAATAAAAAGTATTCTTTGGAATTATTGAATAATTTAAAAAGTTTTTTTTATTATTTATTTAATAATTTTTAGCATATTTAAATGGAATATAAAAGCATCTGGCTTATACTTATTGAAAGAAAAAAAGAAAAAAATAATAACAATAATATTAGTGTCTTTAGTTGAGAGTGGTTAGAAGTATATTTTTAAGTCCAATTCTTAACCCAATTGAATATCTACTTTAAATGTTAATAATAAAAAATTCAAAAAAATTCAAAAATATATACATAGCTTCTAATATTACTTGACAAAAACATTGATAACTTTGTAGTAAAAATTGCCTAAGTATTATGATAACATATTCAAATTAAGAATCTAAGTGTCAAATTTGTGGTGCATGCAAAATCCCCTCAATGTAGATGTGATCCCATGCTTTGGAATTCTAAAGCTATTTCAATATATTACCTTACTAAAATATAGACAACCTTTCACTTTATTGCAACTTCCTACCAAGAGTTAAAGTAGACTGACTATTTTTCTTAAGTTGAGAAAAAATCTATTGTATAAAAAATTAAATAAAAAAGAATTGAAATATATTATATATATTATAATAATAATAATAATAATAATAATAATAATAATAAAAACCTTGCATACCAAATGACTGTTGGAGAAATAAAATTTTAAAGTCACAATACATAATATAAGTAAGATTATACAAAAAGAGAGTATGGAGTAAGATAACTCTCATATTCATTATCCATTACTTATAGGTGTTGGCTGCTATCTTAATAGATAACTTTTATTCTTTGATGAATACATCTATCTAACATTCTATTGAGATTATCTATTGATATCTTATCTATTATGAAAACATGCCATTAACATATCTTTTATACTTTAAGATCCTTTGCTTGTTCATCTACCTTGTTTCTTGGCCTTCTTATATATCAAGGATCAATTCTTTAACCATTAGAAACTTACTTCAAGTTATATCTTTTATAGAGTAACTTATTTTATTTTTATTTTTACTTACTTATTTTAACAACAATCCACTCTATTTTCTGTCATTGAGGTGCTTATTTTTTAAACCAAATCAATCCAATTTGTATAACATCTGCAAATAAACAAATGAAATGTTCCTCCAATTTGTACATGTATTTTGTCAAAAAACTGCTACAAGGAATTATTGATGTTGTTTTAATTGACAAAAGTGCTTCATCACTAATTAAATGTAGTTGATAAACTCAAGCAAAGAGTGCAGTAGATTAGTGAGTGAGTTCTTTGGAAGTAATTAGGGCAAGGGAACAGTTGTCATCCATAGTTGAAGAAGTGACAACAATGCAACTCCAAACCTAATCTTAGCTTATGCATAAGTAAAAGTAGGAAAAAAATAAAAAAAATCTTTTATTGAGCTCAATGTGAATGCAATCAAAATTGAATCTTGTGGTAGGTTGCAAAGCATATCAACTTCCTCCTATTGAAGTTATGAAGGATGGTTTTGCTTGGAAGAAGTGGGATCTATGAACCTCATTGAAACAAGATCTAGTCCTAATCCTATCAAAGATGTTGTTTTCTTGGATATTATTCTTTTTTTGTATTCTCTATTATTTTCTTCTTCAATGTTATTATCATCTTTGCTATGTCATCTTTTTGTATTATTTACCTTGTGATTAAAAATATTAAAATAGTTGTATTAATAATCAATATATATATATATATATATATTTGCCTTTATTTTTTAAATTTAGGTAGAAAAAGATATTGAGCATGGTTTTTAATTTTTTTTTGTTTTTAAACTAGTGATAAATAAAAGGATAAAATGCTTAGCTTCATGTTTGATGATGGATTTGTTGTATGCAATATTTGTAGAAATAATAGTAATGTAATTTACAAGATTCATGCAAGAATCAATTATAGCAAATACTTCAATTTTTTTTTAATAATTGATGGATTATTATGTAAAAAAACTCAAAATAGAATTAGACAAATATATAAAATAACATATATATATATATATATAGTTTTTTTTAACATGTATTATCTGATATTAAAAAAAACATAGCATAAATATAGTAATTTTTATGTCTTTTGAAAATATTATATTACTTAAATAATATTATTTTATGCTTGAATATATTTTCATATTTATTTTTATAGATTTATTTAATTAAAAATAATGATATATATTTAATATAGCTTTAAATTAATTTAATATTTAAAATATAAAAAAAATCAAGTCAAATGTTTGATCTTATGTATAATCTATATTTTGAAAAAATCTATAATTTTGAAAACTACATCAAATTTTCAAATTTCTAAATACATTTTTCTTGCAAGAATTTGAAAATTAATAGTTTTAATTTTTTTTACACAAAGCTCAATGAAAGTGCTATTTGTCTACTTTTACCTATGCATAGGCCATAATTTAGTATGGACTTGTGTTGCCATGGATGTCTTAGCTTTGGATGATAATTGCTCCTTTGCTTCAATTATCTATATATTTCACTTTCTAATCTATTATATTCTTCACTCAAAGTTAGTGCATTGAAGGCCTTGATAAACTCCAATACTTGAAGTATATATAATAATTTAGTATAAATCACTCTAAAATCTTCCTAAATTTTTTTAGGTTAAGGCTTATTATTGAATTTATTAGATATTATACTAAAATATTTTTGGATTAATTAAAGGTAAACCATTAGTTTCCTAATGTAGTTGATACTAATCTTAATATTCCATTTGTAATGTGCATCAAGTATATGACTATTACACAATGAAGTAGTAATAGAATTGAATTATTGATTATTCTTATTGGCAAAGAAGTTGTCATGTTTACTTTGATCCAAGGCTTGATTGATTCCTTTGAAGGTTGTCTTTTCTAATACCATAGAAACCTTCTTTTTTAGTAGCCATTGTAATAATAATTGTCCAAATTTGGCCATCTTATGTATGATTTATTATCTATTTTAGGCCAATCCTTTTCATCTTCTATTTGCTATTTCATGTTTATCATTAATCACACATATATGGAATGTGATTCCTTCAATTAAAGACTTAATATTGCTACTAGGATTTATTAATATATTACCTTATAAATTTGTGCCTTGACTTCTTACTCTAGTATATCAACTATTCAACTTTTGATTGTTATTAATTCAACTTATAGCATAGAGACTAACCTTAACTTAAGAATTGAAGTATCAAGAGCAATAAAAGACCATAGCAAGAATTCACCTTTTTTGGAAACAAATCAAACAACCAACATGACTATTCATCTGACAAGGTATGTTGATGCATAAATTGATACATGAATAACAGTAATTCTGATCATTCATTCCTTCTACTCTTCTGACTAATACAAAAGATACACAAAATTTGTGATTAATTCACCACATGTTATCAATTTGCCTCTTTTTCCAAAAGCTAACATAGTTTTCCTGCAATTAGAAATCATCAACTGTCATCAGTAAGTAAAAAAAAAGTAAAAAAAAAGAAAAAAGAAAAAAAAGAGGTCATCCTTCTACTTAGTAGAGAAAAAGGTTTTTTCTAGAGTACCAATGAATGTCTGTTAATATTTGTAATCCTCTGCTGCTTTTTTGTCGTGGTAACAGTAAATAAAAATCAACCCAAACCAAGTCATGAAAGGCATGAGACCCCAAGCGAAGCTTCTAGCGGAACTGGAGTTTTCCGCAACGAGAAGAGGTCTTCATTGTGCTGTTTTCGTTCCGTGGTTTGTGGTCTCGGCAATTTTTTTATGCTCCGTTGTGACCGATCTCGGCATCCATTACGCAACAGAATCGATAAAATCGACACGTGGTGACGGTTCAAGCCCGTGCCCAGTGGCTCTCCGACGAACCTTTCTTTGTCTTTGCAGCCCTCTCACGCAAGCTCTGTGGATTACTCGCTGACTCGGCCTTGCGATTCTATCTCGCTCGTGTTTGTGTTGGTTAACCCCGCGTGCTTTCTGAGATTTGTGGGCTCCCAGCTGTTTTGCGATTTCAGGTGTGTTGCTCGAATTCCTGACTGCTTTTCGGAAATCAGGGTGTTGTCTTTCGAGGGTTTTGGTTTTTTATGGGTCACAACGTTTCTCAGTTTGTGTGTCATGTCGGTCTGGGCGATTGGAGGAATTTGGGACGTCGTGCTGAGCTTGACTCGTTTGACGGTGGGTTCGATCTTGCTGCTCATACTTACATAGACTTGGTTAGTCGGTGTGGTCGATGCGGTGTTGAACTCTGGTGTGTTGGTGTGTGGAACTGAAATCTTTCTAGTTTGTTGTCGTGATTTTCTTCCTTTTGTAGGACGCATTGGCTAGGCTACGTTAAGTGGTCAAGTATACTGGGTTTTGGCTGCTCGATTTCTTGTCGCTCAAAGTTGGAAAATGTGGTAGTAGGCATGCGGTGCGGCTGTAGTGATGTGTGGTATTGTGTGGGTAGAAGCCATTACGTGATTATGAAAGGGAGTGTGAAATTGGAGTAGAGATCAATGCAAAGAGTACGTGATGGGAGAGATAGTACCTCAGTATGTGATACACTTTTGTGCATATCTCATTGGTTCTGAATGACATATCTATTATCGTTTCAATTTGCTGATTTACTAGCGGAGCAGAAGAGGGGTCTCGTGATCAATGTAAATGAGGGTTCAAACACTTGAAACGAGTTCAGGTTTGTTTCGTCTTCCCAGTGTGCGCTGTCTGCGGACTGGTGAATCATGTGTTCATAGTGGATGTTTTTGCGGTTTCTCCCGGTTTTGTATTGTTGGCACTATTATTTCGATGAAATAACCCATATTCGGCATCGAGGCTGTGTATACAAAGTGAATGACATGAAGCGTTGTTGTTTGTCAAACCAAACTCATATTAGCCAGGAAGTGAAAACCAGCAGTTCGACATACATTCTATTTTTTCCCGAGTTCGGTATCATGTGAAGTTTTCGAAATGGTGAAGTGAATTGAGCACTACAAAATCATGGCTTTACATTGCAGGGCGCTGCTAAGATCTTCGAGTTGTCAAGCATTTTAAACTTAACGGTGTCTTATTGCTTAGTTTTGTGTTCCGAATTATGGGTTATATCACGGTCCAAATACTGGTTTGTGTTTTCATTTCATTATGTGTTCAATTCCTTGCCATGTCTATGTACTGGACCGTGATTTACTGATCGATCGTGGTTGTGTGTTCTATCGTGCAGACCTGATCTCTTAAGCTAAAATACAACTAAATTGACAACCTTTCAATAGTATTTTCGCTAATTTTGTATGCACAACTGATCTCAGAAGCCTACGATGATGGTTAGGAGAGTGCCTGATATTTCATCAACTATACCTGAATACTGCAGCCTTTAGAAGCGTGAAATTGGTGTGTTGAAGGCTGTGTGTTGAAGGCTTTGACACACTCCTAAATGGGGAGTTGCCAATCATGAATTTGTGTGCGAAACTTCTCCATGTTTGAGGTGATACTGAAAATCTCTTTAGTGGTACTATTTAGTTGGTTATTTTGGAAGCACTTAAGAATCTCTTTGGGGAGACTTTGAACAATTCAAAATCAAATTAAAACCAAAGACTTTGTGCATGTAGTTTGGGCATGTGGGTGGTGTTGGGGTTGACTGTGATTTGAAATAATCAAGGAAGTGGAAATTGTGATCTCTCGACATTGTGGTGGATTTTGATGTAAGATGATTAATTTTTACACATAGATGATCTAAAGTCTATGTTGGAGCATTCAAGGTTTTATTGAAGAAAAATAACTTATTGAATAAAAACCAATGTGCTAATATGTGCAAGAAAATGAGCATATTACAAAGTTTTTTTTATCATCTAATGACTTATATTAATGATAGATTGGAACATGGATCTCTATTGAGTGAGTTATTTTTTATACTAAATAAATCTTTTCTAGTAGAAAGTTGTGGAAAAGCAAATTGGTGTAAAGAAGATATCTTCCAATTGAATAATAAAGAGACTTTTAGAAAACTACTTTTGGATTTAAAATGTTGTGATATAGTAAATAATGTGCTTTTGAAGCATCATCCTAACAAAGTTGAAGATAGTGCCTTTGCCACTTTTAATGTTGCAACACATGATGAAGTGAAAGAGGATGTTGAGTTTCTATGGAAGAAGTTGGTCCATGTAAATGGAGAAGCAGATTTTGAATATTTTGGAATAACAAAGCATCTACTATAAAGGTTTAAAAACTTGCTTTGTGTAGAAGAGTTTTCAAGACTCTTTTTGTCTGACAATAGTTTTAAATAATCCAACAATATATTGGTTAATATTGAGGAGTCAAAGATTATGAATAACAATGTTCGACATGCATTTGTGAAAGTGATTGATTTTGGAATGTCTAAGATTGAAGTTGGAAGAAATCCAAAAGCCATAAAGAATAATTACATTTATGGTAGTCTTAGATATGTGCTTAGAAGCATTGAAAAATAAATTTCAAACAATGGAAATGTGTAATTTTGAAGTTGATGTTTATTCATTTATAATGATATGATGTAAGATTCTTTCAAAAAAAGATCCATTTTATGATATTTGTGAGATAAAAGAGATTTTAGAAAGAATTGAAAAAGGTGAAAGACCAAACTTACCTTCAAATTATAATGACTTGATTGAGCTTATTCAAGAAGGTTGGAGGTTGAATCCTTTGTATCGGCCAAAGTTTGCAAATATTTGTCAAAGATTGAAATTATTATTAGTTGAAATTGATGTGGCAAATGTTCCAAATTTTAGAGCGTCAAAAAAAAAATTGTCATCAAAATATAGAATTTCAGCAAATATATAATAGATTGCCATTGGTATGACTTGTACTAAAAACCATATGGATTATATATTGAATTTATTGTATTGATGGTATTTTAAACTTGTGTATACTCTTCTATGCTATAATAATTTTTACATATCTTACTATGAGCTCAAGTTAATAAAAATAGGTTGAAATGTAATGCAAGCATCATTCTAATTTTTTTTTGTTGATTTATGAATGAATTTTTTAAATGTAGGTTGATTTATTAGAAGAAAAAACATTTGATAGAACACAACATTTATCACAAATAAGACAAAAATGTGGAAATAAAGTGAAGGTATTATATCTTATTAGAATGGGTGGAATAGGTAAGACTACAATAACAAAGGCTATATTAATCAATGTAAAAGACATATACAATGCCTTATGCTTTGTTGAATACATTGAAAGTAGTGGTGATTGCTACACAACTTTTTGTATTATTTTAGAAAAATTCAAAATCAAATTAAAATCAAAGAACATATAAGAAGCTTAAGAAATGTTGAAATCATTCTTAAAAGAGAACAAAACTAACTTGGTCTTTGATAATGTAAAGGATCAAAGTCAGATTGAAGATGTGCCTATAGATGACATATTTCCTAGCAATGGTAGCATATTGATTGCAACAACTCAAGATTCAAAAGCAATAAAGTATTATGGTAAAGAATTTTTTATTGTAAATATTGATGAACTTGATGAAGAAACAAGTATGAAGTTATTTATCACAAATTCTTGTAGCTAAAAAAATCTGCCTCACGAACTTATTGAGGTTAGCCAAAAAATTGTAAGAGCTTGTAATGGTCTACCAATTATAGGAGTCTTTTTGAAAGAGAATAAGAGATTAAGATGTTGAAAGCAAGCTTTACAAAAGTTGAAAAGGAGAAGAAAGTTGGATGGAGATGAAAACAATAGTAACTACAAGACTTGGGAGATATTAAAGATCAGCTTTGCCAATTTGAAAGTTGAAAAAAAGAGTATATTTTTGGACATATGTTGTTTTTTTTATAGTGATCTATGTCCCCAAGGCATGTCAAAGGAAAGAGCATTGCAAATTTGGAGCAATAGTCAAAAAAATATATTTGAACAAGATGTAGAATTTATATTGGATACATTGATTAATTAATCATTGGTAAAACTAGACAAAGATGGAATTATAAGAGTAAATAATCAACTACAAGACATGGATAGAAATATTGTTAAAAAAGACATGGAATATAAATATACAAGAATGTGGAACTTAAATGTACATTCATTTCATGGATTAGCAACCAAGATAATTTAACTTAACTATTAACTAAATGGCATGTAAAAAACTAATGATATTAAAAAATAGTATTATTTAAAGATTGGATTAAATCTTAAAAAGTCCTTTGTGCTTGAAATCTCCATTCCAATTTGTCTTTGAATATCAACTAAGTGAAAAGAGCAGCACCTTAGAAATAATTTTTGATAAATATTTGATAGAAATTAACAAATCTAAAAAAACATTATACATTCCATATTGTCTTTAAAGTCGTCCACTCTGTTAGAGCTTGAATTTTCTTTGGATTCATCAAAAGGTCTTAATTGGATATAATAAATAGAAATAGTTCTACTTTTGGTTGATGGAATATACATTTCTTCAATTTGGTATATAATCTTGTATCTTCTAACTTTTGTAAGACTAATCTAAAATATTCTTCATGTTCTTCAAAAGTCTTAGAATAGATTAAGATATCATCAAGATAACAAATAATAAACTTATTTATGAATTCTCAAAAAATATCATTTATCAAATGCTAAAATATAAATAGAATATTTTTCAATCCAAAAGATATGATATTATATTCAAAATATCTTTATTTTGTCCAAAATATTATCTTTTATTCATCTTTTTTTTTAATCCATGCCAAATTGTACTCTCTACGGAGATCTATTTTGATATAGATCTTGGCTTGAGTGAATTGTTCTAAAAGCTCTGATATCAATGATAATAAATAATTATTTTTTACCATTATTTTGTTGACGTCACAATAATCAACACATATTTATAAAGATTAATCTTTTTTCTTTACTAAAAATATCAATGCATCTGCTAGAAATTTGAAATGCCAAATAAAATTCTTTGCAAGATTTTTGTTGATATAAACTTGCAATGCCAAAAGCTTGTTCTATAATAGTTAATAAATTGGGCCAAATAATAGTTGAGCCTCTTCTTGAGAATCAATGGTACAATCATACGGTTGATGTTTTGACAATATGTCTGCATTCTTTGTTTTGAAACTCCTTATATTATTCTAGGATAGCTATTAGCAAGCTTATTTTTTATGAGCTAGAATTAAATAATAATAAATGTCATTTCTTTCTTAGTAATTTTCATAAAAGTCCTTCTTCCAAAAAATAAGAGTTTTGTTATTGATAACTTCTTAATAGATTTTGCTCAAAGAGATTCTATAGAAAATTCAACCTTATAAAATCTCCAATCTATAAATGGATTATATTTTTTTAACCACAAAAGTTTTAAAATAATAGGATTGGATGGAGTTCTAATAATTTTGAATATTATTTTGCTACTATGGCCCTTAAATGATATTTCTAGTGGTATGGTCTTATGAGTAATATTATCTAAAGATAAAGGTTTACTATCTATTATTTCCACATGTATAGGTTTTGACTTCTATATTAAAAGAATTTTATGAAGTTTGAAAAATTCTTCATCTAAAAAAAATAGATGCTCCAAAATCTAATAAAATATTTATTTGAAGTTTTTGTAGACTAAGAAATAAAGATATAATAAAACAATAAGCAAGTTGGATAAAGAGAGAAGGATCTTGATGAATTTGAGGTATTGGAATGCCCAATTGTATAGTTCCTATTGTAGTTGGGCCTCTTTGTTTTCTTGAATAATTACATTCTTAATCCTAATTGTAAGTTGTTTCTTTGGTCAATTTCTAGATTTGTGCTTTCTTTACCACAGTACAAGCATAGACCTTGTTCAAATTGATGCTTCTTCTCTCCTACTATAAGAAGTTTGAATTATATTGCATCAATTTACATATCCTCAACTCTGGAGTGTTGAAGTAATGTATTTGTTAAAACAATAGAGTACAAATTTTTAATGAATTATTTTATCAAAGTCCATGAGCATTGATTTTGATGGCATTGAAATTATTGATTATTATACTTCATAGCTTGGTTGATAGATTCATTGAATATTTGAGGATCAGATAATAATAATAATATGTCTTTTACATTATTCTTTAATTTTTCAATAGAATTGGTTTATAAAAGCTTCTTCATCCCAATTGATGTTACAAGCCAATTGCTTAAAATCAAATCTATAAATTGATGCAAAGTATGACTTTTGACATAATAAGATAATCTTCATTATTGCTCATTGAGTCTTATTATGTTCTTCAAATGCCTCCACAAATGCTTTTATGAAAGCTTCAAAGTTTCTTAAGATTAGAGATCTTTTTTCAAATAAAGGAGCAAACCAAAATAATGCTTGACTTATGAGCAAGGTTCCAACTAAATTAACTCTTAACTCCTGTGTTGGATAGTACTTAAGTTGTAAAAAATTTACCAATTAAATTTGGTTAATAAATCCTCAAAACTTAGAACATATGCTATCAAATTTTTCTAGAAGACTAATTTAAAGCTCCTTACATTATTGAATAGGTGTCAAGGACAAGAACTCAATGAAAAAAAATTCAGACAAGTGAGCCTTCACTCAAAGAGAGGTAACAAAATATAAATAAACAAATATATATATTGAAAGAGAAACTGAAATGGCTATTGCCAAAAGA